AAGGGCCACAGAGGAAAAGAACCAATCGTCCAGGCAAGGAGGAGCAGGAGGGACTAGCAGCGACTTGGGGGCTACAGTAGCTCAAGGGGGCCAGCCCTCAACAACCCGCCCGTTCTGGGAGGGGCCTCTCTGCCCTTCTTGGCTCAGGTCACTGCCGGCTCCCAAAGCTCCCCCACCCCCAGGGTGCCCACTGGCTCCCTGAGCCTGAGAACCTGGGGTGTTTTCTCCTTTTCTCTGAGGACTTCGAGGTTTTAACAATAAGGTGCACTCAGCTAGCTCCGCACTCACATGCGCAAATAACTTAAAGGACAGAGATAATTCACTTGCCAGCCAACATCTCTGTTTAAAGAGTCTTCTTTTTCATATCAACACTTCTATGAATTCCAAATTCGATCAACTCTTTGTTACACAGTTTGACATTAACAAAACATCAACACTCTGACAACCTGCTGGGGTCAGAAAGAAACATCTTAAAACTCTTTGGACTCCACATGAAGACAGGCTTCCAATCCCGATCTTTGATCTCTATTATAAAGTAGTACCAATAAAATATCGTAGAGATTTATGGGCGAACTTTCATTTGAGCTGTTTCACACCTAAAATAACACAACTGCTTGGGCCAACCGGCAGACATTTTTGGTTTAGGTTTCAACTGTTTAGGTTTTCTTTTACTTTTAAAGCCCAATTCACTTATTTAAAAAATTACTTTACATTTTACAGTGACATTGTATTTGACCCTCTGAGAAGACAGCTGGAAGGCATTAGCTGTCATGCCACTCAGAGAGTGACAGGCCTGGGATAGGGTGGGCGGTTGCTCCCTATTCTAACTGATATCCACCTTTTGTCAAAAAAGGTGCTTTTTTTTCAAGGGATTTAGATGGACAGTACTTAAGTTGGCCTTTCCTCCTGATACACCCTATCGTTAGCAAGAATTACCAAGTACTCGCTTCTGTGACTGAAGTCTCGACAGAGAGGACTCCATTCGGGAGGCAGCAGCAAGCTGGCGTCCGGCACCGGCCGGTGTGCTGCACACTGCCACCGTCCGGGGGAGAAGTCGGAGTCCAGCTTCGATCACAATTCTGACACCAGTCACTCACAGGTCAGCAGCACGGAATGAAAGAGATCTGTGCCACCTCCCCTCGGAGGAGAACATAGCCAGCACCCTGCCTCCATCCCCACCACCCGCACCCCTTCCCCATGGACAAGGCTAGGTGAGGGTGCTGCCAAGTCAGAGAGCAGCGGGTCTGCAGAAGAAGGAAGCAGCTCCTCCAGCTTTTAAGAAGACCTTTACAGTCAAGGGAAAGTGAAAACAGCAGAAAAGTTCCTGGACACAGTCCTTGAGGAAACAAAAATGAGTAGGAAGAAAGGTCAGAGCCATGGTTCCAAGGAATCCGCAGGCACAGCTGCTGCTGTCCAAGGTTGTGGCCGGCTCGAGGGCTCCCGCCAAGCTGGGGGCAGTGCCTCGGGCACAGGGGCCACGGCCACTCAGAGGCACTGGCCATTCCTCCTTTCAGGGTTTGGGAACAGAGTCCCAGTGAGAAATTCTAGAACTGTGACAATCAGGAAACCAAAGTAAGGAGAACAGAAAATAAAATATACTTAGTTACTCAACCCAATTTTGTTGTATCATTTTCTGATTCTGAAACATAATTCCTGGTTACAAAAGGAGACCGCAGCAGCTAGATAAGAGAAAGATACCTGCTTAGAAGAAGAACCTCTAATTGTAACTAAAATTCTTAAATATTTGAATCTGAAGAGCAGAGTTAAACTTTTTATGTGGTGAGAACATTTCTCATTTATTTACTTTATGTGGTCTTTAAAGAGATTGCTACTTCTATTTCTCTTCCCATCATAACTTCATACTTCTTCTAGATATAACATTGTATCTACACATCACAGTTTTTGTGGATAGGAGTGATTTTGGAGTCAGCTCCCTTCCCTAAAAGGCCCCGCATCTTCAGGCAGGGATGTGGATGAGAAATGTCTCCAATCTGAGGTTACAGTAAATGAGTCCATGCATTGCTAGCACGTGGCTGGGGAGCTCAAAGGTCAACTGACCTCAGGTTCATCGGACCGGCAGAGGTTTGCCTGGAGTCCACCTTCCCCACGTCATGCAGGCTGCCAGGGCCGGCTGAGCGGCTGAGCACCGCTGCAGGAGGTCTCGGTCTGTGGGAGCAGATGGGAGCGCTCCCTGGCAGCTGTGTTGAAGCTGCAGAAGTCCTGGCACAAGTGGGCTACCCAAGGACAGAGAGGCTAGGAAACCCCTGACATGGCTGGTGTCCCTACCCACGGAAAGCCTTGGTTTCAGACTTGAAAAGGAAGTCCAGTTGTCCCTGGGTATCAGGGGACTGGTTTCAGGGCACACCTGCCGATACTGAAATCCAAAGATGCTCAGGTCCCTTTTATAAACTGGTGTGTGTAGTACCAGCATAGAGCCTACACACATTCTTTAAATCATCTCTAGATTACTTGTAACACCTAACACAATGTGAACGGCACTGCGTTGTTAGGCAATAAAAAGAAAAAAGGCCCGCACGTGTGGAGTACGGACACAGCCCTCACAGGGCTGACTACAGGACGCACGTCAGCAATAGCGTGCTGTCCTTTCCACGTGTTTTCGATCTGCCCTGGGTCGAATAAAAGGGTTCGGAACCGTGAACACAGACGGCTGACTGCTCACTATGGTAGGCGGGCGGTCTGACAAGCCTGGGGCTGCAGGCCGACTACGCATTTGGGATGTGGGTGCCCTTCCTCTGTCTCTGTATCTGAGTACCTGGCATATGGTACGTTCTGGACAAAGGTGTGCTGGGGAGCGGGTGGGTATGGAGGCGACACGGGGCCATCAGGAGGACATGTAGTCAGTGACAGCTTTCTGATCTCCAGCTATGACACAAACAGAACCAGGAGAATGCTGGCTCTTCAAGAGACCCCCTGCCACAGTGTGCACGGCCAGAATCCCACTCATCTTCCCTATGACCAGGGATGGGCACAGTAAGCGCACGCAGTCGGGTTCCCAGGACCCTGGGGTGGGGCATCTCCAGGGTGTGCAGCACTTGGACCTCTGGTGGCCTGCCCTGCCTGGGTCTGGACAGCATGTCCCCAAAAGGGCCAGCTCGTTCTGGGGAACAGCAGGAAGTGGAGGTTCAGGTGGCCAGGGGCACACATTTCTCAAGCCCTTGCTTTGAAGAGATGTCAGTGAAGAGAGGTCAGCAGTAATGAAGAGAAGGGGAATGCTGTCCTACAGACGTGTCTCAATGCTTGTGCCAAGATGTGTAGGCTTGAAAAGGTCAGCGGCTTTCTAGGCCTCTTCAGACCCGCTATGTTGGTGGTGTTCCCAAACCTTTAGTGTGGAACCCCTCTAAGCACTCCTATCGAGGGCAGGCAGCACAGTGAATTTCCCCAGGAGTTAGAGAGGTGGGGGTGGGAAGCGCAAGGGCCTACCAGGACGTGCTGCTCCTGAGGGCGGTGCTCGGAGCCTGGCTTCTCCTCCCACCAGTCCTGTGGCACACAGGTGTGCTGGGAGAGAGCTGCCGGCAGCTGAGGCAGTGGAGGGAGACCGGGCAGCTGGATCCTCTCCCTAGGTGGTGACGCGTGAAGTTCCCAGAATAGAGCAGGTCTGGCACCTGGCCTGGGTTCTTGCCCCTGAGAGACAGGGCCAGGTAAAAGGTTCTCAACTCCCACATACTGGTCAGGGGGTGGGTGGTGGGATATACCTCCCACCTTAATCCATTCGAAGAACAAACACCAGAAGTCATGTCCTGAGGACATGGGCAGAGGGAAGGTTCAAGCTAGTTATATGCACCAAAGCTAAGTGAGACCTGAACGTTGTGATATAGCCAAAGACATAAGATGATCCAAATAAGCAGGTAAACAGTGTCAAAGGAGGGGAAAGACACCATGAGCTCCAGTGAGGGGCTAGAAATAACCCAGGTGTGGCCTTTTATTCATCACTGTCCCCAGGGCCCAGGGCAGTGCCTGGAAGATCGTGGTGCCCATGAACACTTGTTACAGGAGGTCTCTGTACGGAGCCTAGTACGGCTCCGACTCTGCGGAGTCGGAGCCGTACTAGGAGAGGCAGGATCAGGACTGGAAGGAAGAGCCTTCGCTTTTCCGTCTCTGAGACTGCAGGTGGTCTTGTAAAAGGCAGGTCAGGAGCAGATGAGCCCCGCCCTTCAGAACAGGGGTCAAAACTTCTTGAAAGACCAGTAGTGAGCCTTTCATTCATTCTCCTATGGAAGTATGACCGTTCCATAGGCATTACGTAAGTGAACGGGCCTGGCTGTGTTACAGTAAAACCTGATAAAAACAGTGGCTGCTGTGCTCTGAACTGGCTGAGCCCTGCTTTGGAACAATCGTTACAAGCAGTTATATTCCCTCATTTCTTTCTGAAGCTGACTCCCTGCCTGAGCCCCTCATGTGGCGGGGCCGGTGTGAAGGCCGGAGGTGAGTACCTGTGTCTAGCTTTGGTGACTCTTCAGTTCGGTTCCTCGTGAACACATAAGGGCCTGATGGGAAAACAAGTGACAATGGAGGGCAAGCATTTTTCCAGGGAAAACCTTTTTTTTTTTTTTTTTTTTTTCTTTTTCTTTTTCTTTTTCAAAGACCTTACTGGATGTGAGAAAAGATGTTCAGACAGAGTTGCTGTTCCTCAGGAATTTTTTGTTTAAAGAGAAATAAACAGACCTGGCTTGTGTAGCTCAGAGAGGACTGAACCCCCACCAGAGAGCCAGAAGGTCACCAGTTCAGTTCCTAGTCAGGGCACAAGCCTGGGTTTGGGGCCAGGTCCCCCAGTTGGGGGACGCACGAGAGGCAACCAACTGACATATGGCGCATGGATGCTGCACAGCACTGTTTCTCTCCCTCTCTTTCTCTCCCTGTCCCTCTCTCAAAAAATAAATAAAATCTTTAAAAAGAGAGAGAAATAAACAAACAAAATAGAGGCAGAAGAAGACTAAGTAGAAGCACATGTTCAATCCAAGATACTGGAGACTGAATTTTACCTTCTGAACCAAGTAGACACTTGTTGCTCGCTGTGCAGCCACTTTATCCAGTTCGGAGCCCTCGGGAACAAAGTAACTGACGTCGGCGATATGTACTCCCACCTCGAAGATGTTGTCTGTAAAGGCACAAGAAGGTCCATCAGCCTGGTCTGGAAGACAGCGGTGCTCCTTCCCTTCCTTGCACTCTTCCCACAGACGCATGTCACTCTCAGAGGCCACAGGTGGCCCCTTGCAGCCTCGTGGGGCACTCCCCCTACCCCCATGACTTCACTGTTGCTACCTGGTGAGATTTTTATCCCCAACAAACATTAGCCTTTTTCACGAATGGTTCCCATTTCTAAAGGCTTCTTGTCCTTGAGCAAACATCGGCAGACTTGCAAAGGAAGACTCGTGCTGGATGACGAATGAAACCTTTCACGTCACTAGAGGCAAGTTAACCCCAAACCCCGCAGACTCTGCCTCTGCAGGCTCCACTCGTCCTGGCCGTTGGGCCACAGCCTTCATTCAGCCCCACAAGTGGCCCTCCTGCCTTGAAGCAGTCCCCACTGGTCCAGCTTTCCATACTGTTGCTGGTCACCTCCTTAGGCATAAATCTGGTGATGTCACTCCTTAGCCTGCTATGCGCGTCCCCGCATGGTCTCCCCCAGTCCACCATGCCAGCCCGACGACCTCGCCATCCCTGTGCTCTGTACACAGCTGTCCCGGCAAACCTTCTTCCATCCTTACGACCTCATCCAGTTCACATGCTGGCTTGGCTTCTGCTCTTTCTTATCCTTGGGGTAATCTCAGCAGGATCTGTCTACCGAGCCAATGGAAAGAGAACCCCAGAACAAGAGGACCCCTCTGCCCTCTGTTTCCTCCACCTGCGCTGGGAAAGCCCCTGCTCTGCAACTGAAGATGCTCGCCTCGGCCTTTCCTTCACAGGTCTCATCACTGCCAGACATCACGGCACATCTGCACTGGGTTAGTACTCCAATGTCTGTCTCTCTCCCTACAGTGTAAACTCCAGAAAGGCAGGGCCTTCTGTGTCAAGTTCACTGTTGTTGGCCCAGTGCCTAGAAGAATGCCTGACACATACATAGTAGGCCCTCAATAACACCTGCTGAGCGAACAAAGTGGCTGTTGCCTTTTCCCTTCTAGCCAAAGACCCTGCTTGCTCTGCCTCTTAGAACGGCCCTGTCCTTTGCCAGCGGAGCCGGTTTTCAACATGCCCTGCCTTCCCTGTCACCCCACCAGAGATGGGCAGATGCTGTGGGCCAAGGGAACTGCACCGAAAGCTTGGCTGGGAGCCAATGAGGTTATAAATGTAAGATCTACTCTTGAACAACCAAATCATCTACCAAATATGTATATTTAATTATACACACAAAAATATGTACGAAAATGCACAAAATAGACAGAATATAAAAAAGCACGAGTGAAATAAGTGTGTGGTTTGAAGAGAGCATCGTGGCAGACAGAGCACATGGACGACACGAGCACAAAGGTGCATCTGATTAAATTCAAGTGCACACTCGGTGCACTTCCACTGCACCCCACCCCTATTCGTAGCGACCGGCCAAGGCATAGGCACCTGACTCAAGTGGGTCTACTCCGAGTCTGTTTTCAGGGACTGGTATGGACTTCGAGGAGAGGCGCACTCTCTCTCAGGACCCCGGAGACAGTAAGGACCACTGTTAGAACTGCCACGGAAACGTCTCTGCCCCAGAATCATGCTGCTACAGGAAACAATAGGTCTAAGGGACAGAAGGGAAGTCACGATGACCTCACTGAAACCTTGGGATCTGGCTGCCTTGCAACTAGCCCACCTGTGGACTTGGCCGTTCATGGTGGATCAATTCCTTTTGGGTATGTGGACCTGCTGAAAGAAACCTGACACCCGAGTTGACTCAGAAGAGTTTGCTAACACACCACCATTCCTTCCTCTCATTACCAGGATAATCAGTGCAAAGGTATCACACACTTAATCTGCAAATCTTATAGCTACTTTATTGTCCTCCTATTCCTTCTTTACTGGGGGATGAGTCTTCCCTCAGTTTTTAAAATGGAAAAACGTCTAAACATGGGGCGGTTACAATAAGGGGGTCCGGGGAGGAAAAGATCAAAGATTCCCCATTCTGCATGTGTCTCACACTCCAAGACCACCTCTAACAGGGCGTTCCCCGGGTTTTCCACCCAGCCTGTACCATTAGTATGTTAAGGGAAAACCTGAGTCCATCTAAAAGGTCCTGGCTGCTCTGGGACAACGTCTGAGAGACCTATCCCTCCTTCCCCAGGAAAAGGGGAGAAGGGCTGTCTGGAAAGCCGGGAGGAAGCAGTGAGGCTCAGAGTTCAGCTGCCTCGCTCCAAGAGCCCCACTGCCGTGCTGCAGGGTCGCGGGAGTGGAGGGCCCTGCCCTGCGGTGCTCGAGGAACTCGCCCCAGGAGAGTGTGGCCAAGAGTCTCAGACGGCTCAGCTTCCAGGTCTGACATAACAAGTATTAAAAACCAACACTCGAAGAAGGTAAAATAAAGTATCTTCTTTTGAAGTCAGAATGATAATATATTGGCCTAACAGGTAAATATTGACTAAAGGAAAAGAGAGAGGATTATTACATCATGATATGAACCATAACTTTAAATTCAGTCTGTGTGTTGTTACTACACATGAACTTTCTGTCCTTGGTCAAAATTGACAAACTGACAAAGGGTTCATTACAGGAGATAAAACATGAAGGAAGCCAATCAAAACATATTTGAGAGGCTTAAATTTCACTCAGAATTCCCAGCAGAGCCTCTAAAACCAGCAAAGAGAAGCTCTCTTATTCTCTCCTTTGGACCTTTTTTATGGAAACCCTAAGTAAATATTTTATTACATATATTTACATAATGTGAACTTGCAGAACTCTTGAAGTAGTTGTACTGTAGTTTTTCTTCTATGAAAGAGAAAACATAAATCTAAAGGGTTATAATTTGATGTTCTAAAAAATACTGTGCCCCATATAAAAACATAAAAAATTTTTTTATTACATTAAAACATCTTTACTTCCAGGGCTAAGGCGAGTCCTGTGAGTCCTGAAGAGCTGTGGATGCAGAAGGAGGGGAACCCCAGGGCCAGCCGCTCCGGCTGCCTGAGCACAGGCCCTGTAACCCTCAGGGGCACAAACACTCCGTGGTAGGAATGTGAGAGGACATCAGAGGGGCTGCATCTAATGAAAACACTAACAGAACCCAAAGCAGGGGCCTGAGAACCAATTCCACACCAGCCTCTCTGCCAATTGGGCCACTCCCCAGCAGGGTCCCTGTCCAGCTCCTGACATAAGCCTCACCGGGGAGAAGCTCCTGCTCTACTTCTGATGAGCTCTGGTGTGGAGAAAGCACCTCCATAGCCAGACCCACAAGGCACAGACACAGGGCCCTGGTTTATTTCAGCACGGACCTCCATAAGAGGTGGTCCCTCTGTTAAAGGAGTGTCCAGTCCAGTGGGATTGGCAGATACACCAACGTGGTGACAATATGATGCTACTAGTGCTCTGAAACAGGAAGGCTACAAAGCCTCTCTGCATGGGAGCAAGCTGGGCTGCATTTGTGTTTACTTCCACGAGAATGTGTGAAATGTTTAATACTCTCCGTGTTAGGTGCGATGCTGACGGTGATGACCACAAAAATGGAAGTGTGGACAACAACAGTGACCATTTACTGAATGTCTCCTTTGCGCCAGCACCCCCCCCACATGGCTTTGTCAATAGCCATGTAAACCACAGTTCACAGATGAACCATCTGAGGCTCAGAGAGGTTCCAAGTCACTTGTCCAAGTTTACCTGACTGGTAAGCAATGAACCCCAGAGTCAGAACCAGGTGGGGTTCGGAGCCTTTGCTCCTTTTATTACCAATCCTCACCCCGCCACTGTCACCTTAACTCTAGGACATGCCACAACCCCATTTTTCGTCTCAGTGGGCCACAGCTAGAAATGCCTCCCTACCTCTTATGACTCAACAAATGCCACATTCTCACCATGCAACCAGAAGTTCCACGAGGGACCTTCCCTAGCCTTGTCCACGGCCACATACCCGACCCCGCAGAGCCTCTTTGGTTCCCACTGCGATCTCCTTGGCCACTTGTAGCAGGGCCTGATTCTAGAGCAACCACTAAGCCATCACCTTTAGTTCTATTTAATTCTAAGTCCTTGAGATGCACCAACATCTTTCTAAGTTTCTAGCTTATGGTTATCCTTAGCTGGTGGCAGGGTGACTGTCCTAATAGAGGTGGGAATATCAGGCTTCCCTACTTTGCCAGGAGTGAGACGAGGGCCTTCCAGACCTGGGTCACCTGATCTCCCCTTTCCCCACTGCTGAGACTGGGCAGTGGTGACAGAGGCTCTTCTTGACCCTACGGGACACTCCTTTTGACCCAGAATGTAGGGGAATGGTGCTGGTAGGTGTTTCATCGGCGGAAAATAACTGCACTTGTCTAGGTCACTAATGGCCTTTGTGTCACTAAATTCACATCTTTTTGGGCCCAACTTGGCCTGACCCCATAGGGTGTCTGAGACCTGGTGCTTTCTCCCTGGTCGAAACCCCTGTCTGGCAATGGCCTTGCTTGGGCTGTCCAACTCTGTGGCTGCCCCTCCTCGAGCTCCTCATCCCCTCCTTATCCCTTCCATGTGGACGAGCCCCCAGGTCCAGCCCCAGGCTGCCTTCTCTTCCCACTCTGCTCCCCCCCGGACCGCCTCACCCACTCCCAGGGGTCCAGGCTTCGTCCCCGTGCTGCAGTCTCCTCCTGCTGGGCCACCAGCGCAGACACCGCAGAGCTCCAGGCCGCCACGCACACTGGTCTGCTGGAACGGCCCAGCAGCTGTCCCACGGGCACCTCACACTCACCCCCAGAAGGCCCCCCACCCAGCAGAGCCTTTCTCCTCCTGGGTTCTCTGTTCATGAGGAAGAACTGCCTCCACTAACTGACCACTGCCTGCACCTGGAAGAAGCTGGCCCTGCGTCTGCCTGCACCCTTCAAGCACTCCGCACTCCACCCCCCGACACCTCCCGAGTCGCCCATCTCTCCTCCGCCCACCACCCCCACCCTGGCCAGGGCCACCGCCATCTCGCTGAAGGAAGATCTAACAACCTCCTCGTGGCCT